TATTTAAATAAGTAATTTGTTTTTCGCCGAACCAAAATCCCATATATCTTTAGTAGCCGATTTATACCCTTGGTGATACCTTATCAACAACACACACACACAAATCTACCAAATCTACGTTAGAGTTGCGACCCCAGTATACAGATTCATATACGTACCAGAATTGTATATTTATTAGTATACAATATTTGATCATTACGGTACAAACGAGGGTAAAAATCAATACAACCTCGAGTACAATATTGCGGCTCAAGAATTTGTAAGAATCTGTATACTCGTCTGTATACTGGGGGTTCTGGCGTTGTCGACTTAAATCGTTATTTGCGACATTTTGAATTTACATGCGAAATTAAATCACTCACTAGTATCCCGGGGACAATTTGTAATCCGAAGGCCCAATCATCACAATTTCTACAACTTTGTTCCTTAACTCATCAAGTATGTACACAACGAATTTCGTCAAAATTCTCTCCATTTTCGTTAACCCCAAGAATTGCAGTGGAACTTATTGTTGCTGAGAAAAAAACGAGGGAAAAAATTAAAGAAGAAATGAAAATTTCATCACTTTTTTGGCCGTGGCTCCCAAACGAAACACGGTTTATTTGGAAAAAATGCTTGTTTTGATCCCCTCTACTACCCATTTTTTTTTACATACCTTGACACAATGTATATAATATATAATTGCATTATAATGCCTCAAAAAGAATGGATTTTAATCAAAACAGTTTGAACTTCGTGTTCTAACAATAGGAGCCCGACAAAAGAAGTAGTTTTTTTCGAGGCAGTGGTTTCAAAACTTGGATGAATAGTGCAATTTAAATTTGTGAATGTGTGCACTTTTGCCATATCTTTGCTTAGGAAACAACTCTGGAAACAGATATCAAAATGCGGTTTTCACTGATATTTTCGAGGCTATTTTCATTTTTTCATGTCTGTAAGAACGATATTTTATGGTGGTCCTTAATAATGAAAAAGTAAAATGTCAACGCAACTCCTATTTAAGCTGACAGGTCAAATATGCGCGATTCTGCAAAGATAAGTGCAGGATCGTGTTCAGAAATTAAAGATGCGTACGCGCTCTGATCACGATCGTATAAGATGCAAACGACTAAGTAGAGCTCCGGAAGTATTAGTGAATTTGACGTGGAAGGAATTGGCCCTGGAATGTGAGTGTCTCCCGCGTATGTATATGTGCTGAGCTCGGTGCTGAGTGAATTGTGCAGACCATAGTGCTGGTTGTGTTATTGTTAGGTAAAACCCGAGGTAAAACCGCTCGCAGATATCCGAATCAATAATCCTCGCAATAATCATAGGCTCCCAGATTGCATAATGTAGGTACATGAACCTACGACGCGATCCCGGGTAGCTCCCGAATCCCGATGGTTATACCGCTGAATAACGAGCTGAGTAACACGAGTATTCGCCCGAATAGGCCAACGCCTCATTGCTAACAAAAAGAGTTAGGAGGTGAGCTTGACCTGCAGACGAGACATAGATCGACGTTACTAATCTATAGGCCGATGGTCCTAGTCAGAGGGCCAAGGTAGGTTGTGAATCCTAACCGTAACCCGGGGTAACCCTTTCTCAAATATGTATGAGCTATACATACATACAAAAAAACAAAAGTTGGAAACTGTTGGTTTGAACACGAGTTTTAACAGGATGGTGCAACGCGCACAACGCCCGAATCGTGTGAGAATAGGTACCTGTCGAATAAATTTATTAGAAAATGAAAAACTTGTCCCATAGGTATTCTTGCACGATTCAGGCGTTGTGCGCCGGTGCATCATCCACATCCTGTTGAAACCGAGGTTGAAATCAGCAGTTCCCCACTTTTGTTCTTTTATGTGCCGTACGTAGTGTATTTGTATTAACAAATGCCCTCAATACAGTGTCGCAGTTGATGATTTCTTCAAAACGAAACGTTGTATTGAAAATCTCTTAATGCTGTCTTGTAGAGCGCAAATAGTGGCAATGAGAAAGTGTTTGGTATTTTTTTGTGTCTGTTCAAATAACATCAGAAATAAACAAAATCCAAATCGGCAAATTTCGGTTTTTCTGGCATATCTTCGGAAGTAATCGGAATTTTATTATTATTAAATTATTACCTGTTGTAAACGGATTAAGAGTTGCGGGGGAAGTAGGTACAGTGCGATCAATAATGAGTTGCTGCGCCGCTTCAATAAATTATGACGTTAGTAATCATTTGCCGCAACAGGCGTGGTGCACCAATACTAAAACATAACCTTAAACTTCAAACCAAAGTAAACATTTGACGTTTAACTATATTTAATCGAAATCAACGATTTAAGCACGTTGTGAGTTTCCAAATTATGTGAAACTACTCAAATAGCAAATTACTACAAAAATTGAAACGATTTTATTTCTTTTACAACTCGTTAATATCGAAGTACTTGGGTAAATTACATGCACACTATAACCACTGTTCGAAGTGCTCGCCACCACTATTAAGACAGGGATCCACTTTTTTCTTCATGTTTTCGAAGACGGAATGTAACTACAGTTGCGTAATGTTTCAAACGGCAGCTTTTATACCTGCTCGTAATTCGGCAATGGTGTGTAAACGGTTCCGAATACGTTACAATCTCGTAAATTTGCATTAAACCAATTGCATGCAATAATTTAGACAGCTTTGTAAATCTGGACGATGAGTTCTTGTACCACGGTTACTTTAAAGGATAAAAGTACAATTTTCTCCAGACAGTAGTGCGACACGTTCCGTATGAAATACCCATTTGTCGTAGCGGCTTTTTCAGAATTTGCTCAAAAGGTTTCTCGAAACTCCTGTATACACAAACGTATCGAGTACTCCCAAACTCCACTTTCGTCTTTAGTCCCATTACGGAAACAGGACTGCAAATGCATCTTATTCTCTTCTAAAGGCATGTCGGAGTAAACCTATTACCTTTTACACGTTACAACTAAAAAAACGTTTGTTTATTATTTATAAGTAATTTACCCACCTTGTAAATATTCGAAAGAAACTGGTAGTCTTGAAAAAAGCCGTTTTGAAATGGACGAAAGTAATAAGAAAAGAATTACAAATCGGAATTATAGGTTATGTTTTTGTTTTGTATTGGTACACATATACCTGGTTGCGGCAAATGATTACTAATGTGATATTTTATAAGAGCGGCGCAGCATATGATTATTGATCTCCCTGTACTTGTTGTGTTCAGCCTGGTAATATAAGTTACAATAGGTATCTTTTACAAGACCTAAGCAATATTTTCCTGCTCACCTTTATATGGTATAAAAAACCAGATATCCAATCTGTTAAGAAACGTTATATTTTAACAGGACCCATTACATTAATAGGAAGTGAACCATTTAGTACGAGATTTAGTATAACTGATAAGAAAAGCTTACAAAATCTTAACAAGTATAAATGGTGCACAACTCCTGTGCAGATAAAGAGCAATTTTTAAACCGAAATACTCGCCGACATAGCTTAGTAAATGGTTGGGTTAGAAGGTAGTATCATGTTATCGATATTTAGTTTGTTAGTAGATGATTAATGGGGAGGATGACATTCAAAATCCTCCGACACCTCCGATTGATTTTCCCTTTGAGACTACTTTCCTCTGATAAACCGTTTTCGATTCATTCGCTCTTAAAATTTTGAGATCCCCAATGGATATATTTCTTTAAGACGTCCCAATCGCCCAATGCGCATTTTGCCCAAAAGTTTTTCAGCTCTTCTTCTAATAAATATTTGCTAGTACACATATCACTGCCAATGTCAGTAAAGACTAAACTTGTGACAAAAAGAGCAAACGAACTCCTGGGTCAATAAAAATTTAATCAGTTATTCCATGGGTGATGATAAACCCCGTGATAAACATAATACCTACCGAAAACAGAATTGAAAAATTCGAAACCTTTATCCTCGCCTTTATCATGTACCTACACAAGCGGACAGAGTTTTCATTTACACAGAGGGACGGACAGAAAGCCAAAATTTAATCAGTTGGTCCCTTGATCATTGTCAATCTATTACAGAAAACAGAAATGAAACTTGCTCGGAAACTTGCTTTTTAGGAGCTCGTTAATAAACAAGCACGCTACAGTATGTGATCGACGCAAGATAGACCACACTACAACGACCACTCGACGCATCGTCAAATCGCTATGACGCTATATAGCCCGTACCTTGACAAATATGAACGAACAACTATAACTACATTGATCAGGGGTGGCCAAACTTTTTACACCAAGAGCCATTTCTTTTTGTATGAAATTCCATATTATTATTGATCGGTGATTTTTGGTGAAAGTGAATAGAATAATTATGTTGTACTGCGCTCGAGACAGTTATGCTCGCAGTTATGTATTGGTAATTAAATTACCGATTAGCTTTCTGATGTTACCAAAAGAAACAGCCTTCAGGGCGAGCTTCAGGGTGTCCAAATGTCGATGGAAAACCCGAAAACCGCGTTTTCTCCCTCATTTTATCAAAATTAAGATACTTGAGGTCATTGCGCACCTGAACTTTTTTTAAATTAAACATACGATGTCATAATAAGTTTTCATGGTGACTACGCTTTTGACTCGGTTTTTGAGTTATGGGCTGATTTTGAAAACTTATCAATTTCTAAGTTATTTTAAAAGTGAAAACGGACTACTTTTTTACGCTTTCGGTGGTATATTTCGATTTTTTATAAACGTATAACAATTTTGGAGATAAGAATACGTAAGAACGAGCGTAAGAATGTAACTTATGTTTTTAATGGGACCTCCATTTTTATGTTTTGTATAGATTGCATATTTTCTCGTTTTTTTCAAGCTTTTGCAAAACTATATAACACTTCATACACATACACGAGAACCGGAGAACCGCAAGTCTATCCTCGACAGTAAGAGAGAAACTCCGGTTTTCCATCGAAATGTGAACACATTGTATAGATTTCAAAATATTAATTGAAAGTATTGAAACAGTTCCGTGCAAAAAGAGCGAATCCTCAGCACGTGCACTCTGATTTTATAAACACATATTAGCCGATTATCTAAATTTACCGCACCAAAAATAAAGTTTACTCACATGTGTAAACTGATGCGATATTCTGGTATGCTCTTCTTGATATTGCTTTCTGGCTTTCCTCTTTTCCGCATACATGGTATTTAACGCGTCCAACGTTTTGCTCTCGATATTGTCGGCGTTTTGTTTTATTAATTTACTGCTATTCTCGAATTCCTCCATCATACTTCTCCATGCGGACACAACTAAACTACCCGAAAGTTCGTCGCTTCGATCAATCTTCAGCCCCTGAGTAACAGCAGCACTAAGTGCAACTGCATATTCCCGATCACATTTCACTTTTAAAATCATGCACCTCTTCATTGTTTCCAAAAGTCGTAGCTCGGCATCTTGTCGTAAAAGAAGTGCTTCGTGCGCGCTGCGCCCTTGCAAGTTCGTCGAAAATCCCATTTTCTATTTTTTGTACGCACCCACCAAGTAATTAAGTAATATTTGAATACATTTGAAAAATTTCTAAAATCAAATCACGAAACCTGTTAACACAATTTTCTTAAAATGATATGTTATTACATAATTTAATTTTTAATTTCTTCCATAATAAATCATGTTTACAAAGAAATACACTACCTAAACAAATTTGATAAGTATCCAGATAACTAATTATTTAATTAACCTTTTATGTTTAATGAACCCATTGTTTGCGAGTGAGAGAAAATTAAACGAACATTACGAGAGAATAAAAATATTAAGACTACTTTAACTAACAAGTTAGTTTACTTGTTCTTTTACTCTCCCACCTTTTCTACATATCAACCAGTCGAGATATATCAAATCAATGGGGCAGAGAAAGAAGACGATATCAAAGAGGGAACAAATAATTAGTTGCAAACTGGACGGCAGCAAAGGTATTTCTATCTTTAAAGTTCATATGTTTGCGACATCTATCAGGAACCACGCCTAACATACCGACGCAGAACACTGCGTATATGATGCAGTTTGTAAACTACTAATCCCATTCTATGTCGACAAAAAATACCCATTGGCAGCACCGGAGTTGAATTTCTACAAATTTTTGGAGTTCACTTTCTGGCTCCCAGGTCTGGAGGCCCTGGGGCAACGCATTTTCCGAATAAAATGTTTCAATTTGTTTACAAGTAAAATTATTTCAACAGAGAATGTTAACGTCAAAAGCAAGTAATTTAAACCTAATTGCCGCGTTATCGCATAGAAGTTTGGGAGATTTTTTCAAAGAACGGTCGTTGATGAGCCGTAAGTGAGTTTTTTTAATACTAAGCTAGGATAGCTTCGTTAGGCGATTTTGTCCATTCGTCATCGTTCGGAGACTATTCTTTATAACTATAAGTTTCATTTTTGAAAAGGAGCGCTTTCCAGCACAATACCTACATGCTTTTTAACATTGAATAACGATGTAATCATGTGATTCAGGCTCGACGAAAAATGGGTGGCAATCAATAGGGGCGTTCAATGCATGAATCAATACGTACCTATACCTAGATTTATATCTCTTTTGATGATTTAATTTACTGTTCAACAAACTCGATACGATATTACTATCGACACCTAAAAAATGAATCGTATAAATTGTACGATTCATTTTATGTACCTATCGAACAAACGAAATTTGCATAAATTACGAGTAAATCTATTAGACCGGGAGGCAGCGTACCTACATAGTAACTAAACCATAAACGACAAAAATTCAACAATACAGGCTGAAAGTACGTTGAAAACGAATAATAAAATCACTCGTCTGCCAGTCGTAAGTGGCAGCATTAACTTGGGGCGGCGCTGAATAGGTGACTTCTTTAGGTGATCAACTAAATTCCCAAACTATTACGGTCACGGAAAAGATTTGTATCAAGAAATCCCATTTTTTCCATAGTTTTCAAATATGCTATGGCAGACGATTTCAAGTGCAGCGTTGGTAGCGAAAGATGCCCTCCAATGTAGAGAAAAACGCCCCTGAACTAAACCATGAGGACCGTATAAAAATTATACACAAAAAATTTCTCTTTTTGTCACTACTTTAAAATATATCCTGGCAGACGATATTAAGTGTAGCTTTAATAGTAGCAGACGTCTTAGAAGTTAAAAAATTTAGGTATAGTAAATCCCAGCGAGTGCGAGCGTGTGAGAGATAAGCGCACGAGAGCACAACGAACAGAGATAGCTATAGATTTACGCACCGCTTGGAGTTACCAAACGAATTAAATTATGGAAAATAATAAATTGTTTATTTCGCGATAAGATTGTCGGTATTTCTTGAATTCTTCTCAGACTGAGAAACAGAAACCTTGAAGAGAAAAGAAGATAGATCTTCAGCTCGTTATAAACTATCCTCTGACTCCAGTTCCGTTGTCTCTATGCAACATTAATGGATCGATGATTAAAATCGACAAGTTTGTTTTGCTGAAACTTTTTCGGAAGTATGATTTCTTCAACTGCTCCTAGTCCATCGCCAGTTGTTGATGTTGTTTTAATCGATGGATCATTTTTTTTGCATCTTTCAAAAGATCTCCGGTAAACCTTTGAGCGATTTTCTGAACACATCCTCGGCAAGATTTGTGCTGTGTCAGCGAGAGAAGTACATCTTACTTTTGACAGATAGTTACCCCTTCCATGAAGGACGCAGAACATGATCGTTGGGATCAAAATAAGGAAAGATTACAATCCTACTCAATTTCTGTTTCCACTCAGAAGCAGTCTGCAATTTTCATAAAACCACTTCGCAATGATAGCTCAAAGCCTCTCTTATAGATTACTTATACCGCTCATAGGCAAAAAAGACCTGTTGCGCTTTACTTGGAAGGAAAGTTGTGTTTGCCACATATGAAGATAAGTGCTATAAATTTGTGACAAGGGAAGATGATGTGGTATCCGGCATTTACCGGATGTATGACTTGTGTATGGTCCTCATGGTTTAGTTCATCGCAATTTGGGCGAATGCCACCGAAAAATGTCTGAGTTTCTACAATCCGTTTGATTGAAGTGGATGGAACTATGTGAATCAGAAGTTAAGAATCGAATGGTTTGAAAGATCTCAGTAGTCAGTATCCTATCGCTATCTCTGTTCGTTATGCTCTCGCGCACTTATCTCTCACACGCTCGCACTCGCTGGGATTTACTATACCTAAATTTTTTAACTTCTAAGACGTCTGCTACTATTAAAGCTACACTTAATATCGTCTGCCAGGATATATTTTAAAGTAGTGACAAAAAGAGGAATTTTTTATGTATTATTTTTATACGGTCCTCATGGTTTAGTTCAGGGGCGTTTTTCTCTACATTGGAGGGCGTCTTTCGCTACCAACGCTGCACTTGAAATCGTCTGCCATTGCATATTTGAAAACTATGGAAAAAATGGGATTTCTTGATACAAATCTTTTCCGTGACCCTTATAGTTTGGTAATTTAGTTGATCACCTAAAGAAGTCACCTATTCAGCGCCGCCCCAAGTTAATGCTGCCACTTACGACTGGCAGACGAGTGATTATTAGTTTTCAACGTACTTTCAGCCTGTATTGTCAAATTTTTTGTCGCTTATGGTTTAGTTACTATGTACGCTGCCTCCCGGTCTATATAGCAAAATATTTTTTTCTATTTCGGTGCTTTAATTTAATTAAAAAAATCATTATCAGAAACTATAGGGAACATTAGAACTAACATGTTTTATGTTGGGAACACTTTTTATGCCGTTAAGTTTTAGGTTGGCAGCGTAGTAAGACTGACATTTTGAAGTTCAAACATGGAAGTACCCATCGAGTTAGAAAACTAATGGAGGGAATCAAATGCTTGGCCACGTAGACCACGGGAACCAAAAGTGGCCTCTAACTGTGATTAAAGTACCACACCACTTCCGTTATCATTAGCGTCTCACTTCAGTGGTGTAGAGATATAATTTTCTTTCCACTAATAGGAATAATAACAAAAAAAACGTATATACTTTGTTTCACTGGTGCTGAGCCTGACGTCATAAATGTGATTCTCTCTTCATTACATTTAAATCGATTGAGACAAAAAAATTACGTCATTAACGTAAGTCGTGACAAATAAACCAATTGATCTGTCATAATATCAATCCGTCAAACGATTTTCGTTATAGACAGATTTCCAGTGTTGCTTAGGTAGTTTGTGTTAAAAGTGAAGTAAATATCATCAAAGTTAAAAACGCTTAGGCAAGTCGACAGTGCAGCAACGCCGTTAATAGACAAGTATTTTAAAAATTTTACCGCATAATGGTTCGATTCGCTCATATCATGAATTTAGCCTTTTAGGTCATTCCCGTTACCATTAGGTAAATATGACGAACCGATACACAGAATGAAGATGTTCGCTAGAACACTTAGGTATTGAATTGATTTTATAGGTGAGAATGTTACACTCCGTTCCTTACACAGTAATCTTCAACGACTTGATGGCGTAGAAATATCTGCTACCTCTTTGTCCCGCAGTTTGAAGAAACTGAAATTCACGTGGCGGAGATGCACCGTTTCCAATAGATTATGTTTAATGGAACAGCCCTATGCAGTTCAAAGAAGACTACAATTTTTGAGAGGCTTTAAACACAACGAAACTTCACTCTTTCCATTACGACCTGTGGTTTTAGACGAAACCTGGATATACATGTAAAGAGTCTTTTAGAAGAAGCTGGCAAGATGGTACTCTCAAAACAGTTAGAAAAAGAAGTGGTGAAGGGGTCCGGTATATACCTAATACTCCATGCAGGATCAGAAGATGGATTTGTGGTAGTGTCGTTTTTTCTTTTGTACATACGATTTGAATATGAACATTTGAGAGTTTTTTCTTCACTACCTGTTTTCTCTCACAATTGCGTTTTTTTTAAATAAATCGGATCAGACAATATTCAAGATCCTTATGCGAATATCTCGACTGTGTGGCAAAAGAACAGAAACTGTATGTATGCGTTGTTATTTCAATGAGCCAGTGGTATAATGACTACGCTTTATCTCAAATTTGTAAGATGTATAAATGCGAAGGGCTTACCATGGCCTATTCTACTTCTGCAAATGCTGCAATGGCTAGTTAAGGGTCATTAAAATTCGCGCAACTTAACGCGTATTCTTCACATTGGTAGCATACTTAATTTCACATCAACATTATGTAAACAAATATTAATTTACGAACTGCCTAAACAAACTTTAAGTTACAAATGTTCCTATGCGTTTTCTGTAACCATCATACACTTCATCTCAAAGAGTTTCGGATGCTCTGGCAGTATCCATTTGGATTGTCGGTGCAAAGAATCGGTTACATGAGGTGATTACAAACGGTGGAAAAGGTTTAATTCATACCAACGGACTTCCTCTACATAAAATACATGACCATTTAGCCATTATAAAACCTAAGAACAGGAAAAAACCTATCAGAACCAGATGCCTTACAAGTGATTGTCAACTTGGGCGGTCTAATAATGATGAACGATAGTGACACCTTAATAAATAAGTTGAAACGTCAATGTGACAATATGTAAACCAACTACTAATTTACGACCTGCCTTAATTTTGCTATGACGTCAGATAGTGTGACGAAAGGTTCAGCACCCTTGAAACAAAGTATAGAAGGAGTAAAATACATGCTCGTGATAAAGTAAACAAAATAGACAAAGATGGGGAAGTATGCAGATTTAATATAATCATGGATTACAAATTTATATATACATCGATGTGTTTCAGTAGTATAA